CAGTAAATTATAGAAATCTAATTATTCATTATGTGTTACCCCTGGACAACCATTTGGTCAAGTAAAATTACCATAAAGCAGAAACTTTAGCTCCTGCCAAGCCAGACTACTTGCAGGATACCATAGTCCTAGAACACTGAAATCACCTCAGATATTTAGGAGATTCAGTCACACGCTCATACTTATCTCTATCTAGGCAGATCTTCCAGGGAAATCAAGGTAGTTTCCATTGCATTCCACCAACCACAGTATTATTTAGATCCTTAACCCATTTAATTCAGAAGTCCCCGGCGCTCTCTCCCAGATTTCCATGCCCAGGAATGGTTTGTTTAAAAGCAGCTCCTAATTCTCCAGTCTTAGGAGTCTCAATGTTTTCTTATTCATATAACTTTCTTATAGGAGCTTTTACAAGGTTGGGAAATGCTCCTTCTCAAAGACAAATGTTCACTGCTCCCGGGATGATTATTGTTTACCACAAATAATAAAACCAGAGCAATTAACAAGCAAATATGCTATTAGTGAACTAACCCAAAGGAGTTATCCTTACATAAAACAGGGATGGACAAGCCCCACATGCAGCTTCTCCAGCCCCGTTTTTATGACACCTAGAACACCTAGAACCTCTGGAGCCAGTTTGGTATAATGGTTAAGATACCAAACTAGAAAGTGGAAGACCAAGTCCTGCCTTAGACACCAAGCCAGCTAGGTGACCTTGGGCCAGTCTCTCTCAGCCCTAGGAAGCAGGCAAACCGCTTCCGAAAAACCTTGCCAAGAAAACTGCAGGGGCTAGTCCAAGCAGTCACCAGGAGTCAAAAACTGACTGAAAGGTGCACACACACACACAGAACTCCATACCACTAAATCACATTGTTAACATTTGATAATAAATTAATGGCTTATTAATACACTCTCATTATTTAATAAATTAATGGCTTATTATGCTGCCAATATTTGATAATAAATTAACAGTTTCCTACTTTTTTTTTTTAAAAGACAGTAAAATATTTCTGTTATACCTACCAAAGGCGTAAATTCATCCATTTTTTAAAATAAATAAGAACTGTCCAAAATGATATCTCTGTCTTCTCTGGTGATACTGTCATGTCACCACACCATCATCAAATAAATAAAAATAAAATTGTATCCCCTGACCACAAAATTGCTGTCCACTTCTGGCCTAAGGCACTGATGACCTATCATCCTATCATATTCAACTAATGCACCTCTGAATAGATTAGTTGGCTAAGTTATCCAATAGAGAGCAATTCTTACTAAACAATCTACAACTCAAGTGGCACCCAAATTGGAGTCCATGCCTGGTGCTTCACCTGCAAAACATCGCAAAACACTTGTTCACATTCCTCCAAGCTCTGAGACTGTTAATAGTGTTAGCCAGACATAAAAGACCTGCTCTTCCGAATGCCATTGTGTGCGTGCAGTACAGATGGAAATTCTTTTTGTTGCCAGCAGAGCCACTGAATACACCTTCAAATGGCCGCTAGCCTATTTTCATTCATATTTATTCTGAGTTTCCTGCCAACATTGCTCAACCAGTCGGCCCTGCTGCTTCACTGGCAGCAAGCAGTTCTCTGAAATATCAGGAAAATACATGAGCTCTTGCACAGAAGAGAAGGGGCTTGGAAAGCAGGCTGTCAGATACCTGAACTAGTTCCCTGTTCCAAAGGCCAATAACAATTTTAACAAAATACACAGCTGGGTTGACTAAAATCTGACAGCAATTTAGAAAGTATCCATAAAGCCATTTTAGGAGGCACACCATCTCAGAAAGAAAAAGCCACAGAAACCAACCTTCTTCATCAGTTTGTGCAAATTTCAAGAACATTTCCCCAATCAGACAGCAACGCAAAACAACACAGAATATTAAATCCAGAGGAAGAAGTGACATATGTTACGGGCCTGTCTCTAAGAAGCATTTTACTTCTTTTCTTGACAAATAGACATAAAAATCATGGCAATTCTTGGATATTTAGATTCCAGGTCCAAGACCCTAAAACAGAAGAAATCAAACAATACCCTTCTATACTGTTAAATTCACAAGCCTTGGAAACAACCATAAAGCATGCAATACATTAAAAAGAGGGAGGGATTGCTAAATTGTGACAAAGGAAAAGTTAGATGGGGAAAAGTATGCCAATATTTCACCTTATAGCAGCATCCATAGGAATAACATTACCTATTTCTTGAACAGGCCCATTTTATGAAATAGGAACACAGCCTTTCTGGTTAGAATTGTATCTGTGAGGAAGTTCAACCTAGAACTCATCTTTAACCAAGGCATGCGTTGGTAACATGGTTCTTAAATATTAAATGTGTTATTGCCACCTATCATAAGTAATTCACATTCCCAGCAGTGGTCTCCTCCCACTAGCTAGAACAATGAGCTGAAGTGCATTAAAATCTTTTTACAGCCAAAATGTGTTAAATTAACAAAGCATAATCATAACATGCTATTCAGCCCCATGCCACATGATCCTTCATACATAGGGTTACAGATGTCTATACAGCATAGCTCATTACATACAAGATTTGAAATTGCAACATGAAATGTGACTTTGGTGTCAGTGTTAACTGACAGCTTATGACATACCAGCCAGATAGCTTATTTTATCCAAGATCCTTAACTTTAGCCTATTAGTAGCTTATAAAAATATCTAACAAAGAATGAAGGAGCTGTGAGACAAAGTTCCTGACTACTAAGAGCCTCATAGAATCACATCAAAGGTCCATCAGATCCAACACTCCGCTTCCCACAATGCCAAGTAAATGCTTTTAGGAAGCCCGCAAGCAGAACATGAGTCTAATAGCTCTTTCGCATTAAAGCTCCCCAGCAACTGGTGGTCACTGGTACACTGCTTCCAAATCTGGAGGGTCCATGTCACCATGATTTGTAGCCATATAAAAAACTCTCAGAATTTAAACTAGAGAGTTAACAGGAGCTTTAAAGATTTTTTTTTTTTTGCCTGTTTCAAGTTGTAGTCGTTCTTGCTACCTAAGAGCTATTCATTTTTCTTTTGGGCCCACAGTAGATAACCACAATGCACAGTTAAAGCAGATGGTATTATTCTATACTTTTCTTAAGTACCAGCATATAAGCATTTTGTACCTGAATGGATATTATAAAATGTGTCACTCCTTTCCTTTTGACATATCAGCATGCATCATCAGGTTCCTCCACAAATTAATACTACGGATGTATGAGTGGCTACCATATTTTTCTACCCAAAAGTTGCAATGAATCTTTTTGAAACAAGTCTCTGTGTAATCCATGAGAGTTGAATAAGTATGGTTGAGGTTACAGGACACATTTAGACCTATACAGTGTATACCGTGAACATCAACCATTTCATACTGATAATAATCAGTGTTCAATATTATTATGAAAGAGGTGGGGGGTGGAGTCTGTTGTTAGCCAAGATAAGGAAGAAGTAAAAGGGGAGGGGTATTAAGAAAAAATATTTCTCATTAAGTTTTTAAAAATTTAAATTGATTTAACTTTCAGAAAAGTTGGTAATAATCTAGAAGACAATTAACCAGTAAGCTATTAAAAAGCTCACAGAATAAAGCTTAAAAGCTCACCTCTCTCATTTATTTTATATTAATATAACATAACACTCCAAATTGAGCACACGACTCCTTTAAGCAAATGCTGAAAAAAAACAATTTTTTATTCTCTTGTACTCACCCTTTGCAGGAGAATTCAACGATCCAAATTCATAAGCACGGAGGGGAAAAGGGGGGGGGACTAAAAGATTAAAAGGGGGGAGGAAGGAAC